AAAAAAAAAAAAAAAAAAAAAAAAAAAAAAAGAATAAACAGAATTTTGTCGACCAGTTACTGTAAAACAGCAAAAGCCAAAAACCACTATTAACAAACCGTCCCCACTAACCAAGGATGACTCACTATCTAACAAATTAGAAACAATATGAGAAACAATACCTGAACTGTCGCAGAAAGATATGATGGCAAACTCCATCCTTCCGGTAACTGTTGCGTAAGAAATGGTAACTGCATCCAGACACTATTTGTACTTAACCAAGAAGTGGATCCAAATAATACTACCAAGATGTATGTGATTACACGTACCATCGTAAAAAATATTCTATCTGTAAATTAATTTTCGCTGAGAAAACCATACAGTTCTGTCTAACATTATATATATAATGTAAAACTGGTAACAACGCGAACGACAAACGCCAGATATTATTTCACTGCTCTTCTCAACTTTTTCACGAATATTCAGCGTTAAAACAAAAATAAAAATGCGAAGTTAAAAGGTCAAAAAAAAAAAAAATGTATCTATTTCGCAGCTTGTTAATTGCAGAACTAAGAAAAGTGCAAAAACTTCCTCTCCATTTGTTTATTTTAGCATACCGATTTGCAAGACTAACTGAAGTAGTTTACTTTGAGGCCATAAAACCTCCTTACTCGCCACCTGTCCCTGTGTGCTTAGCAGTACCTATAGACTCAGGTAAACCAAAGATGGCCATACTTCCAGTGCTGCCAATATAGGACTCCCACTTGCAACTAAACTACAGAGGTCAATATTAACTGAAATGCCAAAATAACTATTATTTTCCTTATGTGTTAAGTAATCCCACCCCCACTCTAAAGCCCATCAGTCGATAAAGTGACCTTCACTACCCGTACCTCTCTCTTACAGCAGTCCCTTCATTTCACAAGAAGCAGAGGTCTTGATTAGTAGAAAGAAGTGATGAGACGAATTTATGTTTGCAGTACATCTATGGCTGAGTGATGCAATATGGCCTGAAGCCAGCTTTAACCTACTGCTTAGTGTTAAGGCACAATCTAGCGCTAAAAATAGGTCTGTAGACTACTGGAACATGAACTGGAAAAGTTCTGCAAAGAATTCCATAACAATCAAATGAACCACTTCTCTTACACAGACACTGCTTCAGATAAAACGAAAAACAGCTTACCTAGGAAAGAATATTCACTTCACAACAAATTAAGGCCCCTCTTCCTGCAGCAGTCCATTCTACTAACAGTTACACGGTGTAAGTAAGGAGCTTTCCATCCTTCAACTGTTCTTGGGAACTGATACAGCTTTTTAAGAAGAGTAACGTCAGAAACCGCATTGACGATGTGTCTCCATCAATTTACTTTTCAGAACAGTGTTTGGCAGTAATCTGCAATTTTTACGCTCCTTCTGCTTGCACTTTTTTACGTTCCGTTCTCTAATCAAAAGGGATTTGGAAGCCGTTTAAACTTTGGGAAGAAAGCATATCATACCGACAAGTACCTGTCAGTACGGTTACTTGTTATATTGAAAGGTTGACTGCGCTGTAACAACCCCCCACCTTACACACTCATACACACAGTACGATGATCAGAAACCACAGTGCTACAGAAACTGCGTGTTGTTAAAATTGCAATAAAGGTGACGAGAAAAAATGATCATAAAAAGGTTTCTTTGCAGTCAGTAAAATGACACAGAAAAATCAAAAAAAAAAAAAAAGAGAGAAAGGCTTTTATACTTTTTACGTAACTCACATTTGTGTAACAGATTTAATGGTGAAATTGGCTTGCAGACTCTTCAGAACAGTGATTTTTTGCCTTTTCTGCCCATTGTTTCCTCTGAGAAAAAAAATCTTCTTGTCGCCTTTTAATAAAGTCATCATTTCTTCCCTCTCCCCTCCACTCTCCATTTTGGTTACCATTGTCTACCTCTATAGTTACCCTTAGCTTTGTTTAAAAAAAAAAAAAAAAAAATTTGCTACAGTTGTTGGAGTCAACCTTAGATCTCAGACTTTTTCAATTGTTGTTGAATGCTTCCATCGTTGTCTCCCTGACAACTGTATTGTCCGGCTAAGAATTAATGCTCTAGAAGCTACAAAATCGGAATTGAACTTAAGGTGTTAACAGTCGTGGAAAATTTCAATTAGGTAATTTCAACTAGATAACATTTAATGTCACTTTTTTTTTTTTTTTTGTTGTACAGAACTGACTTTTTATTGCCAGTTTTGTCATTTTAGACTGTTAAGCCTCTAAACGAGTTATCAAAATCACTGTTACAGCAACACTTGATAAGCTTTATCCATTATCACCATTAAATGTATAATGCAAAAAAACTTTGTAATAAATTTTTCAAAAAAAAAAAAAAACTGCTATTTGAACAATAAAAAATTTTTAAGTTCAAAATTAGGCGTTAAAAAAAGTACACTTACTTAGATGAATGGTAAAAATTTGTTAGTACAAAATATACAAAAACTTAGAGGTTATAAAAATCAATTTGAAATTTTAATTTTAATGCTTTTAATTTTCAACCTTAATATTACTGTTTTATTGATCAAACATCAATTTTGTCTTTCTTTTTTTTTTCAATCTTAAAGCGATTAAAATAAGAAAAATAAATAAAATACCAATATGTAGGAATTTTTTATTTTGTCTGTGTTTGTTTATGGTATATCCATCACAGAACAGAGAGCAATTGAACATATATCAACAGTAAATAAGCGGTGAAATAGTGTTGCTATTAAAGAAAATAGTTGCTAGTTTGGAATGTGCATCTATTCCATCTGTCCACAGGTCTATAACCAACATCGTCGTCACTACCATCGTTGTAACAGTAGTAGCAGTAGTAGCAGCAACAACAGCAAAAAATAAACAGCACAGTAGCAATAACAGCAGTCTAAGTGCGAAGAACAGCACTTGTAATTCAATCTGTAGTAGCAGAAAGAGCAGTTTGTTGCAGAAGTGATAATAGAAATAGGAGTTACTACTGCTGCTGCTGGAAACGTCATCGTTGATACTACAACTACTATGACGATTACTATTACTACGGCTACTCTTACCACCGTTGTTGCTCCTGCTGCTGCTGCTGCTACTGCTGCTGCTGCTGGGTGGCCTATTCCCAGTATCGGTTATGTTGAACACCCATTTTTGTCTATGTAAATTTTTTGAAATCCAGCATAAATAGCTGTTCAAAAAATGCACATATTATATGCATAAGCAAAACCAATAATTATTTTCACTGTATTTTGCCTATCAATTTGATTTATCTAAAAAATGAGAGCAAAAAAAAAAAAAAGAAACCTCATTCCACTCTTTCGTTTGCTGCTACCATTAATGGTAAACAAAGTACAAATTGAATTGAAAATCAAAAAAAAAAAAGAAAGAATTTAATGCAAGTTAAAAATTGAACAA